AAAAAAAAAAAAAAAACATACTTATATCTTGAATTTGGAAAAAAAATCATATTTTATTTATCACTAAAAAGGGTTCAGTGAATGCGCATATGAAATTGGTGGGTTCGGTACCTCAAAAAAGGTTAAGAACCCCTGACTTAGAACCTTCTTAAGATCCAATAGTGCAAAATGCAAATTCTTGCACTTTTTTGACTGGTCTTAAGATTTTGATCAGGAGTGTGTATTTTTATGTGAACTATTACATACAAAGTATCGCATGGTAGAAGCCTGTAACATGCAAACGACTAAAATCCTAATGAACACGATGTGTTGAACTAAATTATATAAGCGGGTTTTGCTTGAATATTAAATGCAGCTTTCTTGTTATATTTAGTGTTTAATGCATTTTAATTTGTGCATAAGCAAGCATAAAAGCCAAACTTGTCTCTATAAAACAACATTACAGAAAGACAGGGCTGTGTATGGGTCAAACTAAAAAACTATGTTCCCAAGCATGTGTAAACTTACCCAGGTTTTGTGTTTCTTTTTCTCTCTCCTCCCACAGTTTGCTGTCTGTGTAAGCTGCAGAGAGCAGCCATCGTCTGGCTGAAAGACAAATTAGCATTGTTTAGCTAGCTAACGAACCGGGGACACTGAGCTTCTTCTGCTTAAGCTGACAAAAAAACGGACCAAAAACACAAAACATCCAGTCACATCAAATTAATATGTTGTACTAAGTGGTGGTTAGCTACCAGTAAAGCGCGTTTACCTGTAAGAGAAGGAGAAAAACATTTAACTTTGACAGCTGCGCTTAAACATCGTTGCCTTATGTAGGCCGCCATCTTGGAAGAAACCAATGAAGCGCTGAAACGGAGGGGAGATGTTTTCAAACGAGACCACCAAAAGTGAAGCATGATCAAAAACCGTGTTAAACTAATCCTTATGAATGTGTTTATTCAAGACTTTAAGCCTTAAGTATTTATTTTAAATTCAACTGAATCATTTTGCTCTACAATTTCAGGAGTTTTRCCTACAAGGAATGGCAAATGTAAGTATATTCGGAGTGTGTAGCCAACCCTTTTTTTGCGTAAGTATTTGAAAATAGCATCTAGTTAAATTTTAATTCATCGTTATTATTTAGCTGTAGAACGTCAACAGTTTAAAATGAGATTATAAGAATTACAAGGCATTATAGTGCAAGGCACTAGTAAAATTAAAATACAAGTTTTTGTCAGTAGAGGGCGCTATTTATAAGGAGACAGAACAGGTAAAAGTGCAAATGTTTCCCTAAACTGTGTAGAACCCATGTCCACTTTCACGATAAAACTCACTCCTTATGTTTAATTAAAATCAAGCCCCAGTGTTATTTATCATCACAATATTCCTTAAACGTCCTTTGGCATAATATTATTTTGTCAAAACTTTATTAGTGATCACTTAAACACGAACAAACTCAATGAAAAAGCAAAAACACAGCTTCTCAATCAGAGTTCTGCTGTAAAACATTTATTTATATGTCCCGTATAACAGCCGGACTGACCTGCTGTCCTTTAGTGCCTCTGTGTGTTTTTCTTCTCCAAAAATACCAGAGGAGGACAGCCCTCAGCTGTTATTACAGTAAAGCTGCTTGGCTTTGGGACAAAGGAGGTGACAGGTTGAAACAAGGGGTGGAGGGGGGTTTTATTCAACAAAAGAATTTTAGCATCATCCAAATTCTCACTTGGAAGCAAAACAGGAAACTTGTTCCTGAAATGCACCCAGTCGCCATTAATAAGGACATCTCACACATTGCAACAAAACTGTATTACCATATTTTATCCAAATAACAGAAAATGTTCCTCTGTTTTGTGGTTAAGCGGCACAAAAAAAAAAGTCAGAAGTATTTGTTTCMAATACCCCTCTCTGCTTCCTTTTTTTTGTCTTATTTGCAACATGCATGTCGATGTTTGCTCGAAAGTAAAGAAAAAAAAAACTATGTGACATAAAAACAGCATTGTTTGAATTTTTTCAATGAACAATAACGCTTAACAAACTGCAGTTATTGTCACGTCCGCACTGGCTTCTTTGTTTTTGCCCATGAATATGGTGTTTAGTTCAAATTTATGAAGGAAAAAAATAAAAGGAACATGCTGAGTCATGGTTACTATCCTATTTATTTCTAAGTGATAAAGCTGAGATTCAGACTGCATTAAACAGAGAAAATAAAGACTAAATTTAAAAAAAATTGTAGTGTATTCACATTATAAGATATTGTTTTTCAATGGGCAAACAGAGGACATTTGTGTAATTTCAAATTATCCATATAATATAAAGTTATGCAGGTATAAAAATAAGCCATAGTTTCTGTTTTTCTATCTAATACTTTAAAATATAAGCATAGTAGTTTTGTTTGGAAATCTGACAAGATTTATTGAAAGTCTTTAAAGTCTAAAGCTAATGAGTGGAACAACAAGTAGAAGAGGGCATATCATTAATGTTTAGGTGGATAAAACTCAATATGCATTACATTCTTTTAATCTACGTTGCATATTTCATACATTATTGTAAATGTGTACATATGCCAAAAAGAGTAATAATAAAAAAAACTGCTTATGCATTGTAACCTAAATGAATTTTAGTAATTATCTTGAACAGTATTTGTGTATTTATCTTGAGTGTTGGTGAGCACGTTTGTTAAAGCAAAAGTTTAAACCTTTAGAAATGAAGTTCTGAGGAGATCATCTTCACCTTTAAATYTTTGAATAACTGCAGGTTGGATTTTAGTAGATTAACAGTAAATATGATTATAATAGAACTAATAATTTGTCTAATTATGCATGAAATCACCAGACAGTGAAGGCTAAAATGTTCAAAATACAATGTCATTTACAGGCAGAGATGTTAGTTTGAATCTTTTTCTTTCTTATTGAACACTTGCATTTGTAAAAGTTTCAACTTTTGACAACCAAMCACAAAACTTTACTAACATTTTGCAACTGATAAACTGCGATAAACCATTTTTTCATGATTAATTGGACAGTTTTTCTGACTTTTTCAGTATATAACAACCCACAGTGTCCTTCTAATCAAATATGATCTGTTCCAGTCAGTGAATATACTTCATGTTGTTGTACGTCAGAACCTCTCCGGTTTTGTAAACATTCCATGTATTTTCCTCTTCTCTGCGTCACCTTCAATTTCTCGTGCTGTCCCAAGTTTCAGTTAATCCAAAGCCTCATGAAACTCCAGCGTTTCCTTCAAACCTCTAACGTGATGCTGCTTGCAGCAGCAGAGGAGCCGAGTCTTCCAGCGTTTGTGGCGGGGATTGAAACGTGTAGGTGAGGAAAGGGAAAAGAAGAGGAGGATGTGAGAACTTCCTCAAACTGTTTGCAGTTTCGCTCTTTGGGACTCGGTGGTCGTGTCTGGTAGAAATGGAGAAGCTGCTGTTCTGCATTTCATCTGACAAGAACTGACACTGTTTACCTGAACTGGCATGATAAAAACCACAGCTAAAACTGGACGAAGGATGGGAAACGAAATACTTAAATATGTTCCAGTGCAAGAAATAGAAGATAAAAATACCATCGTTTGAAACACAACCCTCGTTTTAGCCAAACTTCATTTTTAGTGGGGGCTTGTGCACTTTGCGTAAACAATGGTTTACTTTTCAGAAATATGAAGCTTTTGTCTGGGACACCCACTGTGTTCGTCACTGCTGTTTGATCAGGACCTAAAAGACAGAAGGGATAGGTGTTTTCTCTTCCTCTTCCTCTGCTTTGAAAGCACGACACACGCAAGCTTTTTGAAACTTGCAGCAACCGTCTCCTGCTCGGCAAAAAAAATGTGTGTTGCTCGGAGAGGATTAATCTCTGACATTTGGGTTTTATTTTCCTTAAATGCACTTGAGACGAATGCTTTTGGCAAAAAAAAAAAAATTACAAGCACACAACCCAGGTTCTTTTATTTTCTTCTTTATTATTTTTGATTTAATCAGTGGAATCATGTGATCACAACTTTTATGACATCGAAAAAAAAAAAGCACAAATCCACACAAACAATCTTACAAAATCATACTGATTCAAAATGTACATGCAAAAATAAAAATCACAGTTTATTTCATGAGGACACAAACATTATCCCATATTTGTGTCTGATGTTATCAGTTCTTACAAGTTTTACTTTAAGTCACACAAAAAAACAAACATTCAAAAATGCCCTCAAAATGTGCATAAAGAAAAATCACAGTCAAAGTAGGTCCATTAAAAATAATTACACAGAAAATAGTTTTTTACACATGAATTTAAAAAACAGTTAGTTATTAATTTGTGTATTAAATGTTTTAAATGTGCTTTCACAGCTTTTAGCTTTCATTTTTGTGTTTTTGATTTGTTTGTATTAACACTATATGATTTGTTTTGCTACACAACAATCCATCATTTTAACCCTGTCTTTTAGAGCTACACATTTTGTTTTCTAACATATCTCCTGAATATCCTCTCTGAATTTTTTTTAAAAATCCCTGAAATCTGCATTCCTTGAAATTTCTCAGTCAGATTCAGTCTCGCTGATTTTCTTAAAACCTATAAATTCTTAGTTTTTTGACCTCTTTCTCTTCAGCTCCTCAGCCTGTTTGCGACATTACTGGCCTCATAGTTTCCCTTCGGCTGCTGTTTGCTTTGCTCCTGCTCGTCTAGCTCCTGCTCCTGRTCTTCTGAAACCGAGTCGTAGTCACATGACCGTCTACAGGCTGTTTCAGGTTCCTCATCTGGTTCTGCGTCGGATTCACACGACGTCTCCGACTGTGAGAGGYGCTCCTGGTTTCCGCTCAGACCTGCAGATCGTCTCTCTGCTGCCACATCCCCTTCAGAAGATCCGTCCGCTGATCTTTTCTGGTATTTCCCGCCTGGCCTCAGTTCGTCAGTGCGCACCTGGTCCTGGGGCTTCACCTCAGGACTGTACTGGTCCTCGCCTCCTGGCTCTTGCTGGTCCGCCTCGGGGCTGTACTGACTCCTCCTGTACAAGCTCTCCTCATCCTCCTCTTGACCCGAGCTTCCCGGGATGCTCTCGCCRTCCGACTGGGAGAGGCGACGACCGGGCGGGCCCGGGGCTTTCTGCGAGAGGTCAAACGGCTCCTCTTGGCTGAAGTGGGAGAGAAGCTCCATCGGTGTGGACAGGCAGTACCTCCCTCTCTGATGAAACACTGAAATTTAAGAAACTAGAATTACATTTGGGAACGTTTACTCTACAGGTTAACATGATCAGAATATTTTCCGCCTTACGTTTTTCATCCAGGCCTCTGTCCATGACCCCGTGTTTGACCTTCATGTGTCTGGTGAGGTTGCCCTTCAACGTGAACTTGCTGGGGCAGTAGAGGCACTTGAAGGGTTTGCTGTCCGAGTGGAGATGCATGTGGCCCATTAGGTTGTGCATTCTGTTGAACTCCTTCCCACAAAGCTGGAAAAAAAAGAAGCACACTGCCAGATTAGTTAATAAGGTCTTAATAATAGACGTTTTTGTAAATTATGGGGAGAAAAGCTGGAAGCAAGTTTAAGAAAAAAGTTCTATCAGATAAATTACAAAAAAAACGCGGGGATAATCGTAGCTTATATGTTCGAGAATAGCTAYAAAAGTGAATTTTTACTTTCTCTTTGTACGTGTAAATAATAAAAGCTTTCCAACATCAGTCATGTTTTATTCTGTTGGCTGAGTAATTTTCTCAGAATGCAGAGCAGCAAGAGCGACACGTAATCATGAATGAATGCAGGCATTGGGACACACACCCTTTCTTCCTCTTTCTATCCTTGTTTTTCTCTTTTCCCCTCTGTCTTTTCCTCCTCCTTCCCTCACACGCACACACACACACCTCACAAACACACACTCACAAGAAAAACAGAAGGCATTAGAGACAGAACGAGAGAGGAAGCAGCAGTGAGACAGGGCCAGGAGGAGAACAGGGAAGGGCAACTCCTGCGCTGTCCTTCCTCTGCATTCTTTTTTATTAGGGTGGTCCTTTCCTTCAGGAGGAGAGAGGGACTGTAAACTGTCCAAGAGGACCGTGAGAAAACAGGAAGCCCCCATTCGAACGGCAGAGAAAGCGCGATGAAATCTATTTGCGGGCCCTGTTCTCTGGGGAGACTGGAGRGGGGGGGGAGCCATTGTTAGAGAGGCGGTTTGTGCGGCGATATCCTTCCTATGGTTGAGGAGGCTCCCCCCTCCCATAAGCTTCTTTGCTATCTGGTCATCGTCTTAGGCCTCGCACCAAACACCAAGGGTCAAATCAGGCATCGCAAAAAATCTTTGTCAGCAGCTCCTTTATGTTTATGATCGGTTCATTTTTGCAAAAAGGAYATGCAAGAAGTCACTGTGCAATCTGCAAGTTTTACATCTACACAACAAAAAATGATTAAATTCCCCTATGACACCAATTGCCAAGTTTTGAATCAACACACATGTTGTAGGATGAGTCGGACAGAATATGTTAAACTRTGTGACAGAAAAAGCAAAGACGCTTCCAAATGCACCTAAAAGCTGGTCACATTYGACTCACCTTGCATTTATAGGGTTTGATGTCCGAGTGGACGATCATGTGAGCCTTCAGGGTCTGTTTCTGGACAAAACTCTTGAAGCACATGTGGCACTGGTAGGCCCGTATGTTGGTGTGAATGAGGACGTGGCGCTTCATGTTGGCCAACAGCGTGAACTCACGGCCGCAGATGCGACACTTGTGCTCCTTCACACCCTGGATAACAACCAGATCAGAAAGATCAGTGACTTTATTTTTGTTCAAAGTGTGGACTTAAAAGCTACGGTTTGAAAATGTGTTAAAAATCTTGTTAAAGTATAACTAACCCACTGTGAAAGCCTAACCCGCCCCCACAGGCAAATTGAGACAAATTCCAACAAAAAGATGCTATAGTTCATAAAATGCTAACCTGAAAAATGCTATCAATACTCGCACTGTTTGCTMTTTCAGCCTCTGACTTGCTACATGGGCGTGCCTCTGAGAGGYTTTTATACCTGAACACAAGGGCTGTGATGAGCATGTACCAAGCTGTACCGATGCAACCAATAGGAAAATTCAACTGCAGTAGCCACTGTTCAGCCCATAGAGGGCAGCACTAAGATGGGCTTAGGTCAAATATTGCAAAATTAAACAAATTTACACAAAATTAAACATAAAACAGCACAGTTAGGGTCCAATTTAGACAGTTTATCTGCAAAAAAGTGTTGATTTGGGGTTTAGTTACACTTTAAAGACACTAAGAATGTCTACATTTATTGATATAACCTTAACATGACCATTTCTAAAGCTTAAAATAATGCAAAAATGTTTTTTTCCTTCTCTAACTTCTGTTCTGAACCTACTTTATGAGTGAGCGTGTGCTGTTTCAGGTGGTGCGACTGGATGAACTCCATCCCACACTCGCTACAGATGAACGGCCTGATGTCTTTGTGTTTCATCATGTGGTTCTGAAGCTGACTCGGGTACTGGAAAGTCTTCTGACACTCTGTGCACCTGCGGAAACAAAAGGTTCATTAGTAATTTTCTTGCGCACAGTAACAAACTCATACAATGTGATATGTTATATGTTACAATAGCAGATGGTAAAAATTGATACAATGCAATACAATTTTACTATCCAAAATTCTTTTCTGTTAAGAGAGGTAGTTCTTTTGCTCACCTGTACAAAGTGGGACCACGGTGGACGGTCAGGTGCCTCTTCAGCTGGGCCAGCGTGGGGAAGTCCAGACCACACTCCACACACACGTTCTCCTGCCCCTTTTCATGCTTCAGCTCGTGGGCGCGAAGCTCGCTGGGGTAAGCAAAGCCTCGCCCACAAACACTGCAGCTGCAGGTGCAGACGTTAAAGTCAGGAAGGGGTAGACATGGCGATGAAGAGTCAAAAAATCAATCCGGTAAGACACACCCACCTGTATGGTTTCACGTCACTGTGCTGCATCATGTGCCTCTTCAGGTGGCTGGTCTGGGTGAAGGCCTTGTGACACACCTGGCACTTGTGGGGCCTCATGCCCTTGTGCGTGAGCAGGTGTGTGTGCAGGTGGCTCAGCTGCTTGAACAGCTTCCCGCAGAGGTGACACCCGTGTGGCTTGATGCCGTTGTGGCCCAGGATGTGCGTGACCAGGTTGTACTTGGAGGTGTAGGACTTCTCGCACATCCGGCACTTCCAGCGCTTCTGGTCGCCGCCGACGTCCACGAAGTAGCTGTCGTCCACGTGGATGTTGAGGCCGAGCTTCTCGGGGTTGGTCGTCCCGCTTTGAGGGGCTTCGTCCGGGGCGGGCTGACTGGAGCGGCGGGCCTCTCTGGGATAGAAAGCCCCRGGGGGCAGGTGCATGACGGGCCCGGGCATGAAGAAGGGATAGGGGAAAGGACTGTGGGGGAATGGTGCGAAGTAGGGCGGGTGGAGAAGGAGAGGGGAGGGCGACCAAAGAGAAGAAGGACTTGGGGGCTCCTGCTTCACCTGCACTGGTTGAGTCAAGGCCGGGGACCTGTGGCGAAGCTGCAGCCGGTTGAGCTCGATCATCCCAGGGATGGGTTTAGAAGGCAGGGAAGACACGGAGCGATGCGGGAGGCAGAAGGGAGTAGTGAGATCCGGCGTCKTCTTACCGCTGTTCTCTTCTGCCTCTTCTTCTCTGTCAGGTGATGTGCCATCCTGGGGGTCTGATTTGAGAGGAGCTCTTTTCCGTTTTGGGGATCTCTCCTCTTGAGCGTAACTCAGGCCAGGCACGGGTAAGAAGGCAGGCCGGCTGAAAGCACTGTAGGTGTCTGCAGAGGGTGACAGGGTGGGGTAACTGGATGGGGAGAACCTTGTGGGTTTAATATAAAGAGGACCTGGACCCATGTAGAAACTGCGCTGAGGTGTTTGTCTCAGCCTTTCTCTGGGGGGGCTTCCACCTGGTGAGAAGTTCAGTGAGTCTTTATCCATCTTATTCCTGCRGAAAACAGGATGAGAAGTTATTGATTTGGATTTCGAGATGAAAGATGTAACGTTCACTTTGACGAGGAGGAGCAGCTTTTCTGAAGAAGAGCTCCAAGTGGGCACGGCGTGACGCAGACGCCCACACCTCTCAGTGTTTAACCTGAAACTTTTCACTTCTTCCTTTCTCACAGATCTCCTCCTTGTCTGAAATCAGGAAGTTCTCTGTGAAATGCTAACCTCTACCTTCTGCAACCTTTTCGCTTCTCTATCACCGGTTTTCTCTGCTCTGTTCATCTTTTTTTTTTTGCACTAATGGAAGAACTTCCTTTTTTCCCTTCTTCTTCACTAGCAGTATGCCATGTTAAAATCAAAATTTCTGTGGGCAGTTCGATCAAATAAGTATTGATCAGAAAACGGCAGGGGGAAAATGACACCTGCACAACATATTTTAAGTTCCTTGATGATGATGACGTCTATGGATGAAAAGATGATGATACTCAAAGAGGAACTGTTTCACTTCTGCATGACATTCAAACTAATAATTAAAAATGTTCACAACATCATCATCCTATTCCTGCTTTTATTGCTGCTTATTGTGAGAATGTGTTCTAGTCTACCACCACGTGACTTTAATTTAAATGTAAGTAAGGTGCATGTTGCCTTTTTAAATTTGCAGTGAACTTTCTACTTTTATGAGGCGTAAAATAAAAGTTTTAATATATATTTTTATATCTTAATAGGGTCAATTCTTGTAACTGTTATTTTTATCAAAAAGCAAAAAATATAGAAATGAATACAAAAAATGCTCCTGAATTAATATCCATGTCGTGACCAGGAATATTATTCTAGTTCATAGCAAATCCAATCCTTTTACTTGAGTTTGCTTTGGKATAAATGCTTGCAAAAATGGTAAATTTTTACTTGACATCTTGGGAATAAARTTTTGTCAGAATTAAATCATCACTTCTGCTTCAGTGCTCCAGGCACCTAGACTTGGCAGGGTTCCCACGGATCCTTAAAAAGCCTTAAAAGCCGTTGAATTTAGCAGTCCAAAAATAAGGTCTTAATTAGCCTTAAAAAGTCTTAAATCAATCTTTCAGAGGTCTTAAAAATATGATAGTAATTCCTCTCAAATATTTAAAGAATTGGTAACATTTATTTACCTTTTTAAATAATTTATTGAATGTTTTGTATTAAAAATGGCTAAAATTGTTGCTAACTGGGTTTGTTTCCATTTGTGTTTATTRTGATATTGGTCTTAAATTTAATTTCAAGTGGCATTAAAGAGGTCTTAAAAAGTCTTGAATTCAACTTSCYTTAAACTGTAGGAACCCTGCTTGAAGTGATGAGCATGACAAGTTCATCTTTTAATTTTAACGTACAAATAAGTAATTTACTTTAAGGCAAACCTAATTTTAATGTAAATGTGTAAAAGTTGATGATCCACGTTCTGTAAAACATCAATACGTCTCTTTCCAGGGCTTTAAATAACCCTCAGAGGAAGAAGTGTTCATGTTTCTTTTTTCCTAATCCTCACTGCTTCTCCTGCCGAAGCTGCTCTGTGCAGGGACCCCTGCCTGTTGCCTCACCGTGCATTCCAAACAATCCATTAAAAAGTCAAGCCCCTCCTCGTGCCAAGCCTGTGCCATGCYGTGTGTGTCCCCGTCAGGCTGCAGCAGAGCCTGAGTGGAACCTACCTGCMGAGAGGCTTCTCTGTGATGCTGCTGCGGCCGCCGCTGTACCTGAGCCCGACCTCTCTTCCTCCTGCTCGTTCTGCAGCTCTCCTGACAATGAGCCGCCCGTCCACGGATAGCATTTGAAGTGACTTAAGAAAGAGAACAGGAACAATCACTTTGTTCTCATTTTTCAGATGAGTACCTTCGGAGAGAAGGAAGGAAGGGAGGGGAGAGGAAGTCAACAAGCCTAGTGCCTTCCTGCAGAAAAATAAGGAAACACTYGATAGACATCTCCATTTCTCTATGAAATAGGGATTTGCACAGGTTTTAGAGGAACAYTGGGAGGAGAGCCGATGTTTGAAAAACAAACGATGCAGAGGCGAAATAAAGTGATCACTATTCTTTGTCTTATTCATTTTTACTGAGTTTCCTTTTAAGTCTGTATAACACTAAAATAATTTGATTCCAACTGATACTTTCTGATGCAAACACTAAATATAATACAGTACAGCACAATGTGATACAATATAATGCAATAGTAGTTTACAATAAAATATGCAATACAACATAAGAATATGATAAGACACAATATGCACATGAAGCAGGAAGGGGCAGGACTTAAAAGTTCTACAGCAGTTGGCCTGGTGAGGCACTTGTCCTGTCTGGCTTCAACTTCCAACTTCTGCTCCTGTCTCTAGTTATAGACCTTAAAAAATCAAATCTACAAATAAATCATTAAAACAGTTACACAATGCAAAAGGAGGTCTGCAGTTTTTGAAAACTGCAAATGTATGTGTAAAAATTTAAAAAGGAACACAGTTTTGCATGATGTCTATTACAGCACCAAGACATTCACTGGACAAGTCAATCAGCTTTTAATCTTAACTTGCATTTTTATTCCTYAGACTTTATTATTCATGTCTTTATTTTGTCTAACGCTAGCAGAAGTGCGATTAAAGCATCAAAACATTGCAAAATGGGGAGAATATCAGATTAAATGTGTCAACCCAACTGCCCTCTGTCCTGTTTGGGATTGTTGATCTAAATCTAAACAAACTCATCCGTCTCCCCCTTTTTTTGATACAAAAGTTGGTGTAAAATGTTCTGACGTCCAAAGTGCATGAGGTGGCAGTCTGAGTAATTGAGCTCATCTCATTGTTGAGGTGAAGCTGACGTTTGTGGCCTGTGGTTGATCGTTAGTCGTGTTAATTAGCTCATGAAGGCAATTAACCTCAGACCTGGGCTATGTGTGCATCAATTCTTGTTGAGAGTTAAGGAGTTCATTAATAGAAAGGGAAGTTTGTCGAGGTGTCTTCCTCTGTTGGCGTTGTTTATTTACGGACGCACGGATTAAAAATAAAACCCTGAGCTACAGATGGCCGAGGCTCAGAACCGGTTCTTCTCTGAGGACCTTCAAGGTTTGTTGTCGCCTACGTCCTCGCAACACGGCAAGAAAGTTCCTTTTGGAATCTCAAAGACATCCCCTGAAACAATCTCTTTTTTAATTAAAGCAGATTGAAGTTCTGCTACCCTCGTGACCGCTGATAATCGGAATAATTTCATCCCCTCCATGCTCTTTTTGACCTCTCTGATTATCCTCCCACTCCAACATGCACGATCACGTTCTTCCTGTAATTAACCTCAGCGCCAAAAATAAAAAAATAAAAATTAAATTGGGCAAAACGACCTCCTGGACCTTTGACCCAAACTTCTCAGCGGTCAGCTTCGTCTGCGGAGGTGACTTTCACTAAAACGTGCTCATTAAAGATTTTTAAGTGGCGTTTGGCTTTCYGTGTCACTCTCAAAAAAGTGTTTTGGAGGTATATAAGTCATGTTAGTGGCGATGAAAAGACAGAGACCTCTGCACTCAGTTTGGAGCATCTTATACAAGAACATAAAGGGGAAAAGTGAGTAGATTTGAGCTTTGAACATGGAGCTTGGAAAAAAGTTTGTTTCTGTTCTTTACTTTTCTCCCTCTTCACCAGAAATGAGTGGAGCTGCTGTTTCCGTGTGCCTCCTCTTCATCCTGTCTGTCTGTTCAGCGTGTTACATCTCCAACTGTCCCATTGGTGGGAAGAGGTCGATCATGGATGCACCACTGCGCAAGGTGAGCTGCTTTTATCAACTTTAGCTTTGCAAATTCCAACACAATCAGCTGGAAAACTAAAAACATGTGATCTGTCGGTTCATGGCAAAAACTTTAAAAGGAAAATAATTGTGTCGACTTTGATTGGAGACACAAATATTTCAGTAAGAGAGTTCAAGTTGAGCTGAGATTTAAATTTTAAAAGTTTAATGATGAATTGTTGTYGTCTTCTTTTTTTTGATGAACAGTGCATGTCCTGTGGCCCCGGAGACCGGGGTCGCTGCTTCGGCCCCAGTATCTGCTGCGGGGAKGGTCTCGGCTGCCTGCTGGGCTCCCCGGACTCGTCCCGCTGTGTGGAGGAGAACTACCTGCTCACCCCCTGCCAGGCTGGAGGGAGACCCTGTGGATCTGAGGGGGGTCGCTGCGCCGCCTCAGGTCTCTGCTGTGATGCAGGTGAGATGAGCGCAGACACGAAAGTGTAAAAATACCAGCAAACTTTCAAAATATTTAAAATATAAATGTGCATGAAGTTCTTTTTTTTTTTTGGTCAGGCGCCAGGACAAGCGTATCTGTTGCTTTTTACATATTTTATTTAGGAATTTGCTTGTTGTATTTTTACAGTTTTTTTTAAAGAAAATTTCTTTTTTCTTTTTAAAATTTTGATATTTATGCACTAATTTATTAATATGTATGAGACTATTTCACAATGACTGAATGTTCTATCTTTAAATTATGCAAAATAAATAAATAAATAAAATAAAAAAACTGTTAAAAAAGCTGATTGAACAGGAACACTGTTTTGCAAAATAAAATAATACATTTATAAAGTTATTCTCTGTAATAAAAATGTCATCAAAACAAATATATATAATTTAGTTGATTAAAATCTTGATACAACATATGTACAAGTGAGCATGAGAGGCCATCAGATWTGCAACATGTCTTAAAAAGTTAAAGTATAATGAGTTTTACCAGGTTTGTAATTTTATTAATGAAGCCCAGTGCACTCAAATTGTATTTTTTATTAAACATTTTTATAATGCTTTTAAAAAATCCTGATAAAAGATTAGAATAGAATAATTTATTAGGATACAAATAAACTAAAAAGAGCTGAAAATGAAGGCAGCCAGATGTCTTTCTTTGGTTTTTGAAGACATTTCTTCTTCTTTAATATGACTTTTAATATTCTGTCTGCTGTTAGATTGATGTAAGTTGGACAGGTCACTCCTTGCATGGTTTCTGCTTGAGCTGTACCGATTTTAAAGGACTTGTGAACGAAAAGCTRTGAAAAGGAAAAGTGCTCTTTTTCTTCTGTCCCACAGAAAGCTGCACCACAGATCAGTCCTGCCTCTCCGAGGACGACTCAGACAACCAAAGCAGCCAGTTTGACGGCGGCGACCCGGGCGACGTCATCCTCAGGCTCCTCCACCTGGCCAGCCACACCTCTCACCGAACCCACCAATGAGCGACTCCCTCTCTACCAGCACGAAAGGGGACTTGTGTTTCCTGCTGTATAGTTGTGTTTCTAAATGTCTGTCATCACTTTTGGCTTTTTTCTCTTGGAGTTGCATTTGTTGAAATATTTTTTTATGGATGGAAGATCATCCAGATTTCTGCATAAATAAAGTTTGGAGAGTATAAACCTTTCAGAGCCGCCGTTTGTTTTCGTTTTTCACACTCTGAAGTCAGCAGTCTTATGTCTGTGTTAAGTCTGTGTTCGACCATGTTCTWTTATCAATAGAACTGGTTTTATCTTCCATCCTCGCACTTTCTTGGCAACTCCCGTGACTCTATCACTGTTGCAACCTTTTAAAGTGATTATCTCGTCACCTTTGAAACATTATTTGTTATCTTCACGGCCAAACTGCGTTCACTTCTAGGATTAAGGTCTAACTAGTTCATTTCTAACTCAATAGAGAGGAAAATAGAGCACAAAACTTAGTTAAAATACAGATTATAAAAGACTTTATGTTTAGCTGAATAAGACATTTTGATCATATAAAATGTTGTGTGAAAGCTAGTTTTAATCTTCAAAAAGCTTATCTTTATAAGTGAGATTATCTGACCAAAGTGCTTTTAAAATCAAATTCAGATCATAGTTCACGCAGCAGATTTGAAACACTTAACCTCCTTTAATGGAGAGAAAATTATTGGATTTAAACTTTGCAACCAGAGCAAAACGAATCATCTTTAATGATTTATTTTCATAGTTTTTAGCTTCCAAATTGTCATTTCCTTCTKCTAAATCTCTTTTTTCTTAATATTTCCTGCCTACCTTTGTATAATCAGCATTCAGCAAGTAAATATTCTACATTATCAGGTGTTTTTAAGTTTTGTGTCACAAAATGTGTGTAAATAAGTACAAGAACAAACAGAAAAATATTGCAGCTCATTTGAAAATTGGGAAAGAAAAAAACTAATATAGAAATAAGGAAAAAGGAACGTTTCATCCTGTTAGCAGTTTTTGGAGTATGTCATCATCCATCAGTAATGAAATCAGCTTTTATGACTCTTAATCAAATTTGTAGGCAGCCAAGAACTGTGTCACCCTTTAAAGATTACTAAACTCAAGACAATTTGTGCTTCTTTTATCTCCCCGYCGGCCTTTATCTGCAGAGGTCAATCCATAATGCTGCATGGGATGATCTCCAGCTGCCTTAATTTGAGTCACATGTTGTCAATCATTGATCACCTGCAGCTGGGGAGTATAAAACATGCAGCTTGCCTCCTCATACTTCACCTTCACTGTCTGCCATCATGTCCTTCTCTGGAAAATACCAGCTGGAGTCTCAGGAGAACTTTGAGCCTTTCATGAAGGCAATGGGTGAGTCTGGTGCTTCATTCTTCCTGCTTTCAAACTATGGATGTTTCAGAGTTTCACTCAAAGGACCTCTATCACAGGGCTTCCTGATGACCTCATCCAGAAGGGAAAAGACGTGAAGAGCATCTCTGAAATTGAGGAGAATGGTGATCACTTCAAGGTGACTATCACCACTGGCTCAAAGGTGATGGCCAACGAGTTCACTATTGGTCAGGAGACTGAGCTGGAGACCATGACTGGAGAGAAGGTCAAGGTAAAATGAACTTCTTATACAAGTGTTTAGAAACTACAGTGTAAATGAAATTACTAAAAGCTCTCTTAACAGGGTGTGGTTCAAAGAGATGGTGGCAAGCTGAAGGTCTCTCTGAAGGGAATTGAGTCGGTTACAGAAATGGTGGATCAGAACACAATTGTGAATGTAAGTTTTTGTTTGCAGTGCATTTAAAAAAAAAAAACTTTATACTTTTATTTATTTTATAACCTTTTCCCTTTCTTTACAGACGATGACTCTTGGTGGTCTTGTATACAAGAGGATAAGCAAACGTATGTAATTCATTACACTTGAATAAAAAAAAATGGCTAAAAAAACAAAACCTGTGTGGATGTTTAATTTCCGTAGATTCTTAACCTGATTTACGATCCTGATATCTGGACAGGCTAGATATGCAAAACAATTTGCACTACTGCTAGGTCAAGATTCTGCTTTGAGCTCTGCAACTAACCAGTCAACTCCTGAGGTGGGATTTCTTCTCTCCTGGAACTTTGTCAGATTATTGTCATATGTATGCTGTGAAATGGGCATATTATTACTGCGAACATGTGACTTGACAAATCCAGTTTGGAGTCAATGCAGTGTTTCCCTKACCATATAAAGTGAAATGCTGAAYACTGGTGCCTGAACATTCAARTTGTTGAAAGTTAAATTGACAAGCTTGAAATTGGTGTTCGAGGGCCGGTGTCCTGCATGTTTGAGGAGCTACCCTGGTTAAACACCAGTGCTTCATTAGGATTCCTCAGTATGCCATAAGGTCTACAGAGGAGAGGCCTAATAAGGCACTCCTTTGGTTCAGCTCCCAAAGCCCCCAGTAAATTGAGAATTTAAACGGCAGACCGTGGTTTTTGCGCACGGCTGGAACAAGACTCTTAAGGGGCTATATGAATATTTTACTTAAATTAAACCACATCCCAACAAAAAAAAAAAAAACTAAATGGAAATCTCTACCCACATTTTATGGGAAGATTTGCTTCAATTAAAATGGTGGTACTGCCCAGAATAATTCTCAGTGATGCCAAATAAACCTTAACCTGACATGGTTTAGCTCACTGGAATCTTATCAACTCTAAATTCCTTTGGAATAATAGAACCCCACGTATTCACTACAGATAAAGGAACACTAGATCTTCCACTACTTCATGGCCAACAGGCTACTGTACATCTAAAACTAGTGAAATCCTAGCCCACTAGACGAATCCATAATTTGGATTTCAGATCTTCCATTCATTAGCACAAACATAAAATGACGTTCTTTAAAAACATTATCAGCTCATCTCTGGCAGCATGGTAGGAATTTCTGAAAATGACAGTCTTCACTAATCCCATGTAGACAAAAAACCCTTCTGGAACAATCCTGACATCCTACAAAATACAATGTTAAACTTCCCAGGTTGGAGATGTAAAGGAGTTGAACTTCTGGAACATATATTTGAGGGTGCAGACTTTGTTCCATTTAACATATAATACAATACGGAACTGACAAATTCTTAGAATAGCAATAAATTAAATCTATAATAAAATACAAATTTAAGCTCAACTAGATACCGCATAGCGGTAACATAATGACCCCCGCACGCAGAAATGCACCAGAACTCAGAAGTCTCTTCCTAATAAATGTCATGCTACTAGGTGCATCCCAAATTTGTAGTGGTTTGGGTGGGGATCTTTTTTGGGGGGGGAGGTAGGGGGGGTGCATTGGTTAACCTGATGGATAGCCCCTCATCAGAGCTAAACAGCCAAGGAAATCTGAAGCTTCTATGTTGAACAGTTTCTGAGTTATAAGCATTTTTGCATGTCCAGACAAACCTTTTTCAAACTAGATCATAACGGTAACATAATGAGCCCCGCACGTAGAAATGCACCAGAACTCAGAAGTCTTTATTCCTAATAAATGTCATGCTACTAGGTGCATCCCAAAATCGTAGTGGTTTGGGTGGGGGTCGGTGGGGGGGCCTTTGGTTAACCTGATGGATAGCCCCTCATCAGAGCTAAACAGCCAAGGAAATCTGAAGCTTCAATGTTGAACAGTTTCTGAGTTATAAGCATTTTTGCATGTCCAGATAAACCTTTTTCAAACTAGATCATAACGGTAACATAATGAGCCCCGCACGTAGAAATGCACCAGAACTCAGAAGTCTTTATTCCTAATAAATGTCATGCTACTAGGTGCATCCCAAAATTGTAGTGGTTTGGGTGGGGTGCATTGGTTAACCTGATGGATAGCCCCTCATCAGAGCTAAACAGCCAAAGAAAATCTGAAGCTCCTATGTTTAATAGTTTTTGAGCAATAACCATTTTTGTATGTCCAGATACCCCTTTTTCAGATAAATTGGGGGTCCGGCGAGGGGGTGGGGCACTGATTGGTGGGCCTGATGGATAGAGCTTCATCAGAGCTAAACAACAAAAGAAATCTGAAGCTCCTATGTTTAATAGTTTTTGAGCAATAACCATTTTTGTATGTCCAGATACCACTTTTTCAGGTAAAATGGTGGTCTCAGGGTGGTGGGGGGGGTGCGGACTGATTGGTGGGCCTGATGGATAGAGCTTCTTCAGAGCTAAACAACAACCAATATATTGAAGCTCCTATGTTTAATAGTTTTTGTGCAATAACCCTTTTTGTATGTCCGGATACCATTTTTTCAGATAAAATGAGGGTCCGGGGGGATGGGGGGCACTGATTGGTGGGCCTGATGGGTAACCCCTCATCAGAGCTAAATAACAAAAGAAATTTGAAGCTCCTATGTTGAACAGTTTCTGAGCAATAAGTGTTTTTGCATGTCCTGACACCCCCTCTTTGAAAGGAGCCCCCTCCTCAAATATGGGGTCTATTGTAAAACCGTTGGCTGGCGCAGTGTAGGTCAGACACTTCTACAGTCCTGCCAAATGTCATGTTGATTGGTGCAGCCGTTTTTGTGCTACGGTTGACCAAAAATCACTGAAAAAAAAAAACAGTACGAAAACAATAAGACTCCCTCTTACGCTTCGCGTGCGGGGGTCATAACAATATTTTATTAGAAACACCATCAAGTGTATTAGAATTCCTTCATCTTAAATTCCCCCAAATTGCTATCTAAAATCTAAAAGAAATTGTCTAGCATAGATGACTCAATATCACTTCATTTTGTGAAATGGGAGACAGACTATCAGTTAACTTTGACCAGAACACCTGGTCTCAAATTTGCTCAAAAGCATTTAAAATGACCAGAAACCCCAGTTTACTATTAATTCAATATGAAGTCCTTTAGAGTACATTATAAACCACACACCTCCACCCTCTTTTTTCAACTGCACTATATAGGGTTGTTGGAGCGCAGGTGTGTTATAAAGAGCAAAAATCCTTTAAAGATGACTAAACTCAACAAAATTTGTGCTTCTTTTATCTCCCYGCCGGCCTTTATCTGCAGAGGTCAGTCCATAATGCTGCATGGGATGATCTCCAGCTGCCTTAATTTGAGTCACCTGTTGTCAATCATTGATCACCTGCAGCTGGGGAGTATAAAACATGCAGCTTGCCTCCTCATATTTCACCTACACTGTCTGCCATCATGTCTTGCTTGCCAACCGCCATTAAACAAGAAGAAAAAGAAAAAGAAAAAGAAGCAGAAGCAGCAGCAGCAGCAGCCATCATGTCCTTCTCTGGAAAATACCAGCTGGAGTCTCAGGAGAACTTTGAGCCTGTCATGAAGGCAATGGG